TTCGAGACCGATTGACATCTAAATCATCTCGGGATAGTTTCTATTACCGTCAATCAACTCAATAGGTGATTACTTATCTTGTATCGATAATCTAACGATAGTTCTGATTCGTGGAGGTTACGGCGTGTCGCGACGCGTCGAAAAAGTAAAGAAATCACGAAATTCCGTCAGCGAAACGTATCTGGTGACTGAAAAGCGATTATAGTGTAAGGACATACATCCTCATATGGATTGATATGTGTAGATACGGTTGCAAATGGGAATTAGTGATAAAGTAGTATATTCGGTATGAAGTAAGATAATTGCTGGCATGCCAAAAGTACTTTGCGGGGTGATAATATATGAAGGGCGGTTACCCGGCCTTGGCAGCCAAGTGCACCTTGCACCGCCATTACAAAGGGCAAGCTTCTTGATTAGGAGAATAAGCCTTAACAATATATGCATTGGAAAGTCAAACATCTTTGTCTTGAATCTTTATCTTTAGTGACTTTCACATCCTGAGTAAATCTTTATAACTTCCATTGCAAACAAGTGCTGAAAGCAGTAAGGATATCACTTGTACTGATGAACCTAGAGTGATGCTCCTGGTATTACATGGATGCATCAGTTCCGAATACTTAGGGTGATATACTACTATATATCTAGACTCCCGATAGTTAGGAATGTCATGAGTTGCTGAAGCATGATCACACTATTATGGGGACTCTCAGGTCAGCCATGCATGATCGTTTCGACCAGAACTACTTTACCTTATCAGCAATATGGAACAGCCAGCTAGAGCAGAGTACACCTCTACACTCTCCAGCAGGCACACATCAGAGCTCGAGAAGAGGAACTTTACTATGGGGATAACTATACAGTCTAGGGACTCCATATGTTAACTGCATCCCGGTAGTTAAATCTACCTGTTGAGAACTTGTATTTAATACTGGAAGTGTCACCTCAGGTTTACCAGTACAAGTAGTATCCTTGCTACTTTTAAGACTTACTTGCGATGGAAGTTATGAAGATTCTCTCAGGATGTGAAAGTCACTAAAGATAAAGATTCAAGACAAAGATGTTTGGCTTTTCAATACATATATTGTTAAGGCTTGTTCTCCTCGTCAAGAAGCTTGCCCTTCTACTCTTGGAGATTCTAGAGGTCTTTATACCTCTATTCTCTTGCTCTAACAATTACTTCTATCTATGCTTTTCTCATGAGTTCCTCTACCTAACCTTCCTTTCGTACCCATGCCCTTCCTGCCCTTCAGCGCTCTTCTGGATCCTCCGCATCTAGTGTTGGCAACGAAGCAGATCGGTTCGTCGCGGATCGAACCAGGATGTGGTTCGATCCGGATTCGATCCGAGATTTGGACGAAGTTCCGAGGTTTGTCCGAACCGGTTCGCGAACCATCTATCTTCGAACGATAATAGGTAAGCGAGTTCTTGTCCGATCGGCTAGATGTTTAGCGCATCTTGTAGCGGGAGAAGTTAGCTACAAGATGCACTAAAAATCGAGCCGATCGGACAAGAACTCGCTTACTTATTTATGATCGCAGTTGTAGGTCGAAATGGTGGGGTTTGAGGCGAAAGGCTTGGCAAGGATCCGGTTTGCGGGGACCAAATCGGTTCGTTAGTGGTACGAACCCCGGGCGGTTCGTTGCCAACACTAAATACAGATGGGCAGTGGTGGTGGAGGATGGTGTACCTGGGCATAAAAAATATGCCACAATTTACTGAAATCTCAATGAGATGGATGTAATCATGTGGCCAGTACAGTCACCAGATCTTAATCTTATAGAAGCACTCTGGGGAGACATGGAGACAGAGCTGGGTGAGATATGGGGTAGAGTTAGCGATATCAAGACTC